CTCCCTCCCTCCCTTTTTTTTTTGGAATTTTAACTATAACCTTTTTAGTTATAGTTATCCAATATATACAAATCTCAACTGTCCATTTTGTTTTGTGAGGTGCGTCAAGAACTACACATTTTAGTTATATAAATATTTAACAGGTTAGGTGCATAAATCTTAACTATAATCATTTGAACATGTTAGGTGCGTTGAGAACTGCACATGTTAGGTATATAAATCTTACTACCTCCTATTTTTAATATATGCAGTTTTGAGAAGTTGCACACTAATTAAGAATATGTTTTTTGTCAATAATAACCTTATTTAATGAAGACAAGGTGAATGTTTTGAGAAAAAGTGAAGAGTGAATATGAAAAGACGTAATGTATTTATTGGCTAAATGAGGGTAATAATGGAAAAATTATGTACAAAAGATCCAAAACGACATTTATTTGGCAAATAGTTGAAAAAGCTAGAATGACATTTAAAAAAAAGGGAGTATGTGTTTTTGCACATATAAATTTTCATGGACATTTGAATATTGATCGCATGACGAGTTCATTTTATGCAGCAAAATGATGGACAATACTGTCTCTTTTATATGATACATTATATTAGTAAACTCCACATTTTATTTATAAGTAAAATTTTAATATTGTTAATCCGTGCATCACACGAGATTCGTACTAGTCGATATTGATCGATATTGATCCATTGGTATAAAAAGTCCATAACTTCCTTTTTAGTAACCTAAGGTAGTAATTTTAGTCCACTCTTTTTCTTTGCTTCTTTGTTTTTTTTTTTTTTTTTTTTTTTTTTTTTTTTTTTCCCTTCTTTTTTGCAAGTTTGGTCCAATTTATTTTACTAACTAAATTGAACCAAAATGAGTACCAAATTTTGTATCGTAAGTTGCCGACAGTGTTCAAATTTCCACCATTGCTGCGGTATGCTGTGGTGGATTTCTACCTTACTGGTCTTGAAAGTTTGTGAAAGATGATTGATATAATGCCGTCATAGTCGGATTTCAGTCTGCCTTTATATTCCGTCATCCGCCATTGATAACACTAGTTTCAGGATAAAAAAGTTCAAACATACTAAATAAAACGTTGAACATATGTTTCATATCATTAGTAATGGGCATAAAAAAGTTATTTCAAATTGACGAACCAAAAAAAAAAAAAAAACATTGAGAACAACTTTTGGGTTCGAATTGCAATCAAATTGAAAGTTGATGTCTTTATTTGCTGAGAGCCTGATTGGATAATATTTATTTGGATTTGATTAGATTTATTGGATATATTGAGTTAGTTTTGAAAAAAGTTGATTGAGTTTTGGTTTGAGTGGGATTTTGAGTTTGTATTTAGATAGTATTTAATATGTAATGATTAAAGTTGATGTTTCGGAGGTAAGTGATTGGAAGTGATGAGCACTTAAAATTATGTGAGTGGATGAATAGTGAATTAAAGTTGACGTGGGACAATTATTGATTATTGGTATAATTTAATAAGATCGATAATATTGAGGAAAGTTGGGTTGAATGAAATTTAAATTGGTTTTGAGTTAAAAAAAATAATCATATGATTGGATAAATTCATATCTAATCAGGCCCTAAATTTTTGAAGTTTTTTTCGCAAAAACTTTTTTTGGCAATTAACCCCGTGACGTGGCTTCTCATCTTAGTTACCAAATGGCCCGTCGCATCATTTTAAGTTGCTGTCCAAGTTGGCCATAATAGTTTTTGCCGGCTGATGATAGGCTTGTTTTTCCAAACTAGGAGTGTAGGACAAGGTTAGGATCTGTTTGCAAGAAGTTTGGAGCAAATAAAACGCGAATATTGAGGTTTAATTTATAATTAACCCTATCTTTTATTCTATAACTATTTAAAATACTTTATACAAAACTAGTGTTTGGGGTATGGCTAGAGATATCTTGAACTCTGGCCCATTTTTGGAGTGATACATTATTCTCAGACAAACTTTAATTTGAGTAAAACCAATGGTGATGTGGTTTTTGTGTCACCACATTTTGAACATTTTGTACATATATAGATGAATTATAAATTATTATAATTGGTCTGTCACTTCATTTATAATGATGCGATGAGCGGTATGAGAAGATTATAGAGTTGGGAACTTGCATCTTTTATTTTAGTTTTACTAGATTTTTATTTACCTGACTGGATGGTAAAATATTTGAACGAAGGCGGCCGTTTGGACTACAAATATATGTAAATGCCGAGGCATCTCGAAGGACAAAATGCCCAAAGGCTTAAGTAGTCAACATTTATCTTATCCTTTTGGTTACAATCTCTTGATTGTTATTATCTATGCCTTCATGGTTGCGGTGAACAGTGAATATCTATATGAAATAAAATCGTCCACGTCAATTATATCAAATTAAATATTTCGCTATCTAAAAATATTCGCATTTGCTTGACTTTGAATCTTAGCATCATCTAATATCTATTTTTGTTTATGTCGGTCTGGTAACAACCGCTGTAATCCGAGTGATTCTATCGATTGTAATCTAGTTTCTTTTGACAGCAAAGGAATTTGTTTTTTCTTTTCGTTTATCTTTGAATTTATAGGAATTCTCTAGTTAAGAGTTAATACTCCTTGAGTCGATTTTATCAATAGATCTCGTTTTTTATATGTAAACATATATTTTGTATGTGCAATATGCAGGTGTTGTTGGTTTGACCCCACAGTAAGATGGTTCAAAACCCACCCTTGGGGCCTGATTCTGTGCGGTTCATATAGAGAGAGAGGCCCATATATGGTGGAACTATGTTTCTACATTGTGTTGTATTTACTGTTATTTTGGCTTTGTCTATTAGTAATTGAGTGATGTAACCCTTCAGTTTGAATCTACAACCTTGTGGTTCAGAAAATTGTGTAATGGCACTTGCTTCAGTGAGTTTAATAAAAAGGGTACTAACTATGGTTAAGCGATTTGCATGAACTAGGTTTTGTTTCAATAAATGGCAAAAGCATGTACAGTTGAAACAACTCTTCTTTCTCTAGTTAAAAAGCTCAAAATTGACAGATTTTCATTTGCACCCATAGTTTTGTTTTTGCATCCATTCATGTTTTCTTTACGAGTTAATACTAACTAAACTTCCAAATTATATATTTAGCAAACCAACAACCATTACTTAATTTAAAGGAAGAAAACGAAAAATCACAAGAACTTGAACCCAAAACTCGGTTTTTACAGTCTCCTTTTCTAGTCTAAAAATGGCAAAAGAATACGTGGCCGTCGGTTAGAAGTCACCTCTTTAGTCTTTTCTCACAAATGTTGTGACCTACTGAACTCGAACTCCGGCCTGAATTCCCCTTCCGGCCATGCCGGCTCTCAAATTCTGCTTAAACAACTTGATTCTGGCCTGAATTCCCCTTCCGGCCATGCCGACTCTCAAATTCTGCTTGAACAACTTGATTCTCTTTGGCGGGTGATCATGATAAACATTCATGTATTCGTTCTCTCTTCTTTTTGAACGAACATCGAAAGCACAACTTTTTGACGGCAATCAAAGCTCTAAGTTTATTCGGGAAGGCTAAGCATGGAAGCGTCTTCAACATCATGTCGTCAAGGAACATATTTCTTGCATGAAACGTGGAGAGATATGAAAATTGTTTTTTTTTTTAAGACCTGATGATTCTTGATATAGTGAGATGGAGCTATTTGTTGTGCATGTATTTAACTATTTATAGAGTATGAAATCTGGGGTTTCCTTTTCTCTTTAGGTAGGGGTGTGCATAATTCGACTAAAACCGAAAAAACCGATTTCGGTTCGATTTTTATTCGACTCCGCTGGTTTTCGGTTTTCAGTTTATAATTTTTTTGTTATTTCGGTCGGTGCCGGTTTTCGGACATCAAATGTCCGAAATAACTGAACCGACCGAATAATATATATATATATATAGGGGGAGGATCCAATGAGTATACTCCTTAAAATGAGTACACTCCTTAAAATGAGTCCACTTCTTAAAATATATATTAATTAAATAATAAAATAATTATTAGTTGACTCCGGC